TAAAATAATATGGAGGGAGCATTACTAAAAAGTGATATTCTGAGTGTGATGCTCGCAACATTTTGTTTTGCAGCCATAGTCACTATTACACGAGTCTTCACAAAGTTTAAACAATTAGCACATAATTGAAGTTTTGATGTATATTGTAAGGACCTAGTTATGCTATAACAGTCATTTTATACTACAACAACCGTGCGTTTGCATACAACTATCCATTAAGGATCTTGGTCAATCTACCTGCCTCGCCATTGCTTTATTGACACCTTCTCCCTCCTATCTTTATTACAGTAACATCTTCCGCAATCATGCCCTCACTTAGGATCTGCCCGTAAACAATGCTCGGCCATTGCGCTTTGTTGCAAGATCTTAAAGCCAATCGAGCCAATGCCCAAGTTGATCGGCCTTTCATAGTTATTCGGGTTTTAATCCCATATAAGATGTGAAAGCCCAAGACCCAGAAGGCCAGAACCCTTACTCCTGATGATCAGATTGTGTGAGCTCGAGGGCATTCGGATGATCGACCCAAGATTACAAGCACCTAGGGAGAACAAATCTGGCTAACTGGTTGCTTAGTTAGAAAATCTACAATCTTAGAGAACAAATGATCTGACCATGGAAAAAACACAATGAGTTAGTGATACGATCGAACATGACAATAAATTTATCATTAAAAGGTAAAAAGATTGAAAATACAGATGCTGGGCTGGTAGTTCTTTTACACCAGGGAGGTACTCATGTTGCTAAAGCACTATGAAACCTCAGAAACTTAAAAGCTGGTTCCTCGCTCTATATGCAAAATCTCACACACCTATTGCCGGATTTTGTACAGGAACCGTGGCAGGTGTCATCCATTAATAATGATTAAATGAACAATCACCATTGATGTTATGAACTATGAAGAGTTCCCTAAAAAACAATCAATCTCGCAAACTTGTTGCTGAATAGGTTGCATCTTTTATTCCTTTTAGACAGTACAAGTATACAAGAAACTTAAGCATCACAAACTTATGGATATTCAGCAAAAATATAATTTAGATGTATGACCAGTCTAAATAAAACACAGAGACTGATGTATGACACGCATCAGACTAATGCTTATGCAATGCAAGGGCTTCTTCCCCATGGTGTAAAAGAAAGCAGCAGGAATGAGACGTGCAGCTATATAAGAAACACAACAATAGGAGAACAAGATCATGCTGGAATAGTATGGAAGACGAGCCCGGCGGCCACCAAGGACAGCAGAGCGTGGAGACACCGGTGCTGCGGTGCACGAGCTCGGCGCCGCCGATTCCTCCTCCAGAGCGAGCGCAGGCTGTAGGCTGCAAGCCCCGGAGACAGCAAGAGGCTATCACCAACACCGATCTGAACGGTGCCGGTGAAGGCGCCAGCTTCAGCTACCATGTAACCTATCATGGGAATACGCAAGAAAGGGACCAACCTTACATAGATGTAGATGATGCTGGCCTTGTTCCTCACGGAGGGCCAGCCAATTAGCTAGCAGACAGGAATGGTGGAGGCAGCCGAATGCTCGCGTCGGCTGCTTCCTATTGTCGGGGTAAGCTTCGATTTGAATGGTGGGGACTATGATATCGCTGCTCGTGTTCGGTACATGGTTGGCTGGTGTCGTGTTGGGTGCGTAGATGCTGATTGGAATGATGGGTGGACGAGCGGAGGCGCGATTGACAACTACGTGAGCAGAGCTTCAGCCTTCAGGAGCAATAATGCTGTGATTGATGCCAGCATGAGATCAAAGGAAGGCAATCCGTTTCCTAATTAGTCGTGATCTCCTATCTCCTAATTAGTGTGATCTTTTGGAGAAAAAATGTTGTGATTGATGTCAGCGAGAGAAGGAAGGCAATCCGTTTCCTAATTAGTCGTGGCATCTGTATATGTGCGAGGCAGCAGTGATCGCGCGAGGCTTCCGTTGGGCATGTATGCAGGGTCGGACACGTACGATCGCGTGATTGAAGGGCAATTCCTCTTGATTTGGCTCTTTCATTCCATGCACGGGTGGGATTTTTTTCCCGCGTGATTGTCTGCCTGCGTGGTGAGGGGTTTGCCAAAATTTCCTTTTCTGCGTCGAGTAGTCATGGATCGCATGGTTGTTTTGGTACTGCCGGGTAAACGTTGACAATCCGTATGTTTTAGTTGTAGAGATTCCGACTCGGTGATGCTAGAAAAAGGGGAACAATGAAAACATTCATGCGTCGATTTCATCTGCTTAAGAAATTGTTGATTTACTATAGCAGTGAGGAAGGAAGGAGAGATTGGGATTTTGCTCTGCCGCAAATGAACCATATTTTTATATATAGAAGTATTTCTAGATAGCTTCGGTGCCTGTAATTTTGTAGGCTGCAGCTCTGCATGCATCGATGCACATTTTTCAGATATGGCCCATCTTCCTTTTGGCACCAAAACAAATATATTCAGCTGGGACCTCAACTCGACGTCTTGTGTGTGTGTGATTGATTAGTCAACGAGCCGAGCGGATCACCGGCGGCACGCATGTGTCTGCGGACAGCGGACGGCGCCGCGCGGCGGCCGGTGAGCATTTACAATACTCTACTCCAGTCCAATACAGAACCTTCGGCGATGAAGCTCGCCTGACAATCCAGCAATTTCATATTCCTCCTCTGCCTCGAACTTCCCGCTCCCCCGCTGACTATCGTATCCAAGCTCTCAACCCCAAGATCTTGCCTCCTCGCCTCGACGTACGGCACGCCCCCAAAACCCTTCTCCAGCCCGGATCGCAACGATCGGATGCGCACGCCGGCGACCGGCGGGTGGCGGCTGCACCCGCGGGGCAGCAGCAGCAGCAAGCTAACGAGGCGGATAATCAGCAACGTCAAGATCACCCTCCTCTGCGCCTTCGTCACGATCCTCGTCCTCCGCGGCACCGTCGGCGTCAACCGCCGCCTCGTCTACATCGCCGGCACCTCCGACAACCCCGCGGCCGCGGCCAGCACCAGACCCGTCGACGACATCGAGCGCATCCTCCGCGAGATCCGCGCCGACTCCGACCCCGACCCTGACACAGACGACGACGCGGCGCAGACAACCAGCAGCTCCTCGGCGGCCACGCGGGAGCACTATGACCGCGGCGCCGCGTGGACGACGGCAAACTACAGCCTGGGTCCCCGGGTGACGCGGTGGAACGCCAAGCGGCGGCGGTGGCTACACCAGAACCCGGGGTTCCCGTACCGCGACGCGCGGGGCGGTCCGAGGGTGCTTCTCGTCACGGCGTCGCCGCCGGGGCCCTGCTCCAGCCCCGCCGGCGACTGCTTCCTGCTCCGGGCCACCAAGAACAGGCTCGACTACTGCCGCCTCCACGGCGTCGAGATGGTGCACGTCACGGCGCGGCTGGAGGACCCCGAGCTGTCGTCATCGTCGGGCGGCACCGGCGGCGCCGGCGGGTGGGCCAAGCTCGCGCTGCTGCGGCGCCTGATGCTGGCGCACCCGGAGGTGGAGTGGCTGTGGTGGCTGGACGCCGGCGCGCTCGTCACCGACATGGGGTTCGAGCTCCCGCTGGCGCGGTACGAGGGCGCGCACCTCGTGGTGCGCAGCGACTCGTACCTCCTCTTCCAGCGCCGGTCCTGGGACGCCGCCAGCACCGCCAGCTTCCTGCTCCGCAACTGCCAGTGGTCGCTGGACCTTCTCGACGCCTGGGCCGGCATGGCGCCCAGGGGCCGCGCCCGCGACGACGCCGGGAAGCTGCTGACGGCGACGCTGGCGGGGCGGCCGCCGGGCGAGGCCGACGACCAGTCCGCGCTCGTCCACCTGCTCATCACCGAGAAGGAGCGGTGGATGGACAGGGTGTACCTCGAGAACCAGTACTACCTCCACGGCGTCTGGACGGGGCTCGTCGGCAAGTTCGAGGAGGCCATGGAGAAGCACCACCCGGGGTACGGCGACGACCGCTGGCCGTTCGTCACGCACTTCGCCGGCTGCAAGCTTTGCGAAGGCAGGTCCACCAGGTCCAGGTCCGCGTCCGCGTCCGCCAGCGACAGTGGCGGCGGCAAGAATCGCAGTGATGAGTACCCGCTGGAGCGGTGCGTCAGCGGCATGGAGCGCGCCTTCAACTTCGCCGACAACCAGGTGCTCAGGCTCTATGGCTTCCGGCACGAGTCGCTGGCGAGCGCCGAGGTCAGGCGGGTGGCGAACCGGTCGGCGAACCCGCTGGAGGCCAAGGAGGAGTCTCTCGCTTTCTTGAAGAAACCAAATGAGCCGGATCCATGGAGTAGTGATGTGCGCAAGAATCGAAAGAGCAAAGGAGAGGGAGATTCTGTTCTTGCAAGAATCCTGAAGAGACTGGGATGGCGATCCAAGATTTGAAATGTTTTTTTCTTCTTTTTTTGTGTGTGCTTTGGTTGTTCGTGGATTCCAGTTTTGTAAGATGGAATGGGAACATATATACAGGAAGGGAATTGCCGTTGCTTGCTGGTTCATGACAAATAAAACATTTCAAGAGGTTATGAATCAAAACATTGCAATATTCATCTTTTGCAAAAAGAGTATAGTACACTGCATCAGTGCCATAAAATTTGTGCTACTAAACTTGAAATAATTTAAGCAGTGCATTTCCCCCCCCCCCCAAAATGGAATACCAAATATATTCAGAGTGCATCATATGGTCTGAAGTATCAACTCTGTGTGCAGACGAAAAGAATAGCATTCCCAGTTCTGAAGGCACAGCGTGGCACACTCGCTGACATCTGATCGCTCTACGTTTTACTAGGACAAAACAGCAGAAACGATGCTAATCCGAAGAATGATGGTGTATTAGTGTCACAGTTCAGTCACATTGTTTGAATCATACTACTCTTCTGCACGGTTTCATTTTTCTCTGAATCCAAGTATCAAAGCGAAAGCATCAGACATATAGCAGCTAAGCTGCTGTATCTCAGACTGCTGAGTGCGCTAGCTTTTGCAAAACAGATAGCTAAGACAAATCAAAACGCAAAAGAACTGATCAAAATTCAAAAATCGTATAACTGTGTCTTCTAGGTGCTCGAGAACTTGGCGTCCATCTTCAGCGCCGCCTCCTTTGCCTGGAGCGGGTTGGTGGCCGGGTCGTTGACCCTCCTGACCTTGGCGGTGGTGAGCGAGCGGTGCTGGAATCCGTAGAGCCTGAGCACCTGGTTGTCGGCGAAGTTGAAGGCGCGCTCCATGCCCCGGATGCATCGGTCCAGCGGGTAGTCCTCGTACCGGCCGCAGGTCTTGCATCCGACGAAGTGGGTGATGAAGGGCCAGCGGTCGTCGCCGAGGCCCGGTGGTGGTTCTCCATCATCTGCTCGTACCTGTCCACGAGCCCCGTCCAGAATCCATGGAGGTAGAACTCCGTCTCCACGTGCACCTTGTCCATCCACCGCCCTTCTGCACCAGCAGCAGGGTGGATGAGCGCCGACTGGTCGTCGGCGTCGAACGGCGGCCGCCCGGTCAGGCTGGCAGTGAGCAGCTTCCCGGCCTCGACGCGTGACGGGCCCCGGGGACCCATGGGCACCCAGGCGTCCAGCAGGTCCAGCGACCACTGGCAGTTGCGGAGCAGGAAGATCCCCGCGTTGAGCGCGATCCACGACCGCTTCTCGAACAGCAGGTCCGGGTACCCGTGGATGACGAGGTTGGCGCCGTCGTAGCGGGACAGCGGGAGCTCGAACGCCATGTCCGTGAAGATGGCGTCGCTGTCCACCCACCAGATCCACTCCACCTCCGGGTGCGCCAGCATGAGGCGCCGCACCAGCGGCAGCTTGGACCAGTACCCCGTCAGCTCCGGGTCCAGGTGCGCCATGTTGTGCACCACGTCGATGCCGTGGAGCCGGCAGTAGTCGATCTTGTTCTTCGTCGCCTTGAGCAGGTAGTGGTCGCCGACGGGGTTGTCGCAGGGGCCCGGAGGCGACCCGGTGACGAGCAGGACACGCGGCCGTCCCCCCCGCCGCGGGTCGAGGGCAGGGAACTCCGGGTGCCGGGACGTCCACTCCCGCCGCTGCGCGTCCCAGTCCGTCACCTTGGGACCCAGGCTGTACTCCCGCACCTTCACCACCGTCGCCGACGCCGAGAAGTTGCCGAAGCTCGCCGCCGTCGCGTTGCGCGGCGACGGCGTCGATGACGAGCCGTCCTCGACCACGAACACGACGTCGTCCGCCTCGGAGTCGGAGCGGATCTCGGCCAGGATGCGCTCCACGTCCTCGACGACCTTGGCGTCCGCCGCCGCGCCGTCGAGGTCGCCGCTGCTGACCAGGAGGTTGAAGCCGGCGGTGCCGCGGAGGACCAGCACCGTGATGAAGCCGCACAGGAGCGTGATCTTGATGTTGTTCAGCGTCCGCTGCCGCTGCTGCTTCTTGGCGCTGCTGGCACGCAGCCGCCCGCCGCCGGCGCCGGCCACCCCCATGCTATGGCTATGCTAGTTCCTTTAGGACCTTCAGATGCAGCGGCAGAGGTGCACCGTGCACGTGCTCTCTCTGGATCGCTGGGAGCTGTGTGTGATGGCGATCTCGTGGATGTATAGGGGCTAGGGAGAGCATAGAGAGGGTTTTGCATTGGCCTGCCGACGAGCTAGCTAGCAGGCAGGAACGTTCTGTTTCAGTTGGCACGTTTGTGTGCAGTGGAAGTCAGCGGGGCGCGCGGGAACTTCGAGGGAGAGGTGAATATGAAATCGCTCGAATTTTGGAGCGCTGCATGCTCATGCTGGGCAGCACGATTCACGTTCTGCAATCTGCATTATGCTAATCACCGCAGAGGATCTGAATGCTCTCCGTCCCGTTCATCGCTGACTCTTCCTCCGAGGTTTTAGCAGCAGCAAACACAAATGACATCGAAGCTCTAAACTAATCTGCACGGAATCGTAGCACGCGCAAACCATTAATCAAGACAGCGGAGAATGCGAAATTGACACCAATGTTTTACTGTTCACACAGGCTGTATGCATGTCCATTCACAGAGTGAGCAAGCAACTGGCTTGGTTACTTACGGTAAATAGCTGAAACACTTTTATTGCCATGTTTGCAGGCCACCGACAGAATCACGGCTCTGGCACAATCTGTTTTTTATTTGGAAAGGCGGCAGGAGATCTATATATAGCAGCATTAAAATGGGTCTACACTCAATGAGAGGGTCTAAAAATTTATAAAATCAATTTAAAATTTTAGAAAATATACACCTTACAATTTTATGACGATTTAACAGCATAGATTAAATAAAAAAAAAATCCATATCAGATATAACATAGAGTTTCAGGTCTCAACAAAGGCAAATATGAATAATCCAATGGTAACATCCTCCTATAGGCCCTATTTTGCGGGGCTCTAGCTCCCACCTCTTGTGGTTGTGCCAAACACATGCAAAAAAAAGGCTCCTCATAAGGAACCCAAAGGAGCTAGAGCCGAAAAAGTGTCTTATCCTGGCTCTTCCTCACAAACTTCATAGAAATTAATATAAAATTGTCATTGGAGTCATTTTTTTAAACGTTTTACAAATCGCCTTCAAGCTCCACAGAGAAGCCGCTTCACATGAGGAGCCAAAAAAACAAGAGCCTTTTTAAGAGGAGCCGGAGTCCTACCAAATAGGAACTAAATAAAGAATTACTCCACCAATCCCTAAAAATTGAAATTTCTCATAAAAAAGAAAATAAACATCACTATTGGAAATGCAAAGGAATACAATTGCAAGCGAATGGGGTGGGAACGGAGAGGACAAGAAGCATGTTCCCATCGTTGGGAGCGGCAGGGCAGCTTCCACAATGACTACGATGAACACGACAACAACAACAAAAAACGAAATGTCTAAGGCAAAGAAAATAAAATAAAACATCATTATTTGAAAAAAAAAAAGGCAATACAATCGCGAGAAAATGGGGAAGGGCGAACAGAGGGGAACAAGGAGCACGTTCCAACCGTTGGGGCGGCAGTGACGTGAAGATGTGGAATGACGATGACGAACATAGCAAAATGAGGAAAAAACCTAAACATATTTCTTTATGAGCTCTTTTACAATGATTGGGGTGCCTTTTGGTGACTTTTTAAAAAAAAACGTACTTTCCCTGTCACAAAAGAGTATACTCCATTCTATGAGAAAAAAAATCCACATTACCTCCCTCAATTTTTGCGAAAGTCTGTTTTCCTCCCTGAACTCCAAAGCCGGGTAAACCACCTCCCTGAACTTTTAGAACCGTTCGTTTTACCTTCATCACCGGTTATAAGCGGTTTTCAAAGGCGTCTTTGTCCTTTTCTATTTTATTTATTTTGACTAATTCTTTAAAAAAATATAGTAAATCACGAAAAAAAATCATAAAATAGAAAATCCAATTTTGTTGGACTCTACATGAGTAAATCTACACAACGAACATATAATATGGTATGCTTTAGCATACATTTTTTATGTAGCTTTAGATCTATGCTTTTCTATAGTTAATTCACACTACTACACAAAAACTTTTGCATGGCGTTTGGGTTTGGGGCTCTGAAGCGGGCGGCCTGGTTTCCCACCTTCGTTGTTCGGTGGCTGGCAGCCGGCCCAGTGACCGTCTCGGTTAATGCTTAACCGAGGCGGGCAGCATAAATCGCCCACCTGGGTTAAGTTCGATTAACCGAGGCGGTTGTCCTAACGTAAACTTAACCGTCTCGGTTAATCAAACTTAACCGAGGCAGATGTTTTAAGGAGCCCGCCTCCATAAATCCATTTTCGGAGGTGGACACCCTATAAGACCCGTCTCCAAAAATAGTGGCCCATCTCCTAGCCCAGGAAAGGCCCATATCTATCCTTTTGTCGGGCTCGTATATAAGCAGGACTTAGTGTTCCCAGCCGTGCCCCTCCCCACTCCTAGCCGCACGCCTCACCAACCCGTCGCCGCCTCTCCGCCCCCTTCCTCCCCACTCCCAGTCGCTCCTCTCCGCGCCCCACCTCTCCCCATCCCGTCGCCCCTCTCCACGCCCTCCCCACCCTGAGCCCGAACTCTTTCTCTCTCTCCTATCTCTCTTGGTGGTGGCGTTCGCGTCCAGATCCGGCGGCACGCCCGCAGGGGTGGCCAACCTCGCTCCTCGGCGAAGGAGGCCGTATCCAGATCCGGCGGCAGCGGCTCTTCGGTGGCATGCTCGCTGTCCGGCGGCCACGACCTTCTCCGGCAGCCACGGCGGCCGTGCCCTCGAGCAGGGGCGCCACGGCCTTCTCCGGTGGCCACATCCTTGAGCAAGGGGCGCCATGGCCTTCTCCGGCGGCCACGGCTTCGAGCAGGGGCACCAGCGCCACGGCCTTCTCCGGCAGCCATGACCTCGAGCAGGGACGCCACGGCCCAGATCCGGCATTGGAAGCGGTGGATCTAGCACGGGACATCCAGATCCGCACGAGCGGTGGTGGCGCACGAGCGAATCCGGCAGGCGGCGGCGGCGCACGCACGGATAAGCTCGGCGGGCTCGTCGATGGGCTCAATGGACCTCATCGACGAGTTCGCTGCCTTTTTTTTGTTTTTTTAATTCATTAACCCAGGCTGGCAATATGACCGCCTCGGTTGTTCTTTGATTAATTGTGACCTTTGCTCACAGGCGTTTTGAATGCCCGCCTCGATTAACTGTTTTTGACCGCCACGGAAAAGATTTGTGTACTAGTGTCATAGTTGCAGTTTCTATGGTACAATTGTTGTGAAATTTGTATGGTGGGATAATTATTATATGCTTGAGCTATAGTAAAAATTTCATATTTATTGGATCATGTATAACTTAGTTATAGATTACTTTTTAACAAGCATAGACCTATATAAATCTATAACTATAACTAAGTTATATATGATCCAGTGAGCATAAAATTTTTACTACAATTCAAGCATACAATAATTATGCCACCATAAAAAATCACAATAATTGGACCATAGAAACTGCAGCTATGAATTAATTATCGAAAAGCATAGATCTAAAGCTACAACAAAAAATTTATGCTGAAGCATACATATTATATGTTCGTTGTGTAGATCTACTCATGTGGAGTCCAACAAGATTTACTATGATTTTTCAAAGATTTAGCTGAAATAAAGGAAAAATAAAAGGACAAAACCGCCTTTGAAAACCGCTTATAACTGATCAGGGAGCTAAAACGAACGTGTTTAAAAGTTAAGGGAGGTGATATACCCGGCTTTAGAATTCAGGGAGAAAAAACAACTTTCGGAAAAATTGAGGAGGTAAGGTGGACTTTTTCCATTCCATCACAACTTTGAACTAACTGGCCCTATCCAGCCCAATATCTGCAGCATTGGAGCCCACTCTCCCAGCCTACAAGTATCAAGCCCGTGCAGGACTCAGAGTCAGGCTCCACAGCCCACTTACACTTGAAAACAACAGCCTGATAGGCCTATCGGCTATTGAGAAGCCAACAGGTTTCCTATCGACTTTTGAAAGGCCAACATAATGCTATATGTCAAATTTTTGCATAACAGTTTCTAAATTTGTAATTAATCATTAAAAAATATTATTTAAAAAAAGCACACCAAACTACCAAACCAACAGCGACAGCAATGCCATTCCCCGTGCGCCTCCCGCCGCCATCAACCACCGCGGCCGCTGCCGCTGCCACCGTCGGGGCCGTACTCGCCGCCGTCGCGCTCCGCCGCTACCTGTCCGCTTCCCGCCACGGGCCATCCGCCCGCGTGTCCATGTCCGTGACCGCCGGAGCAGCCACCACGCTCGTGGCGTACGGCTAGTCACCGCAGGAGCAGGAGCTGCTGGTCTCCGCTACCGGTTCGGTCGCCCTAGGGGAGGGCGAGCCGGCTGGTGAGGTCTCCGTCGCGCTCTACTACGAGGGCGCGGGCTTCGACGCCACCGCGTACATGAGCGCGCTCCGGGCGCGCCGGTTTGGGAGGTGGATGCTCTGGACGCCCAGGATTGGTTCCACGTAGGATCTCATCTGGCGGTGAGTGCGATGTCTGGTTTCGTGCCCAGGGGATTGGGTTTTCGTTTAATCTTATTTTACTCTGTTTGATTTGACTTGGCGTCAGCTCGTGCTCGCAGGAACTTTGCAAAGCTACTGGTGGGCGTTGCCGACGTGCAGTTCAAAGGGAGAGGTGCGTGTGATTAGGGGCTTGCTTGTTGCGGTTAGTGTTTTAGTCCTGATGAATTTGCAACTTTGATTACAATGCTCTCGAGTTTTATTTCAGGCGAGATTGATGCACTCTTGTACTTCTGATAATCATCGATAAAACGGATGAAACTATCTGCTGAATGCTGCGTAATCTTTAAGATCAATTGCTTGAAAAATCCAGTCTTAGTCAACAGTCAACACAAGTAGAATCTGACTGTAGTGTGACACCTCTTTATCAAAATAACTGTTTTAATTGATTCTACTTTTTTGTGGCAATTGAAATTCATTGGTTTAACACATTATCATACATAACATTTCTTTTTTTTCTTTATCTTTCTAATCACATAATTATAGTACGCACTATGTGCTATTGAGAGGTAACAAATTTAATCTTTGCCCATGAATTGTGCAGGCCGTTCAAAGCATGTGTGGGAATCGCCACCAGGCTGTCTCATGTTCTCTTTTCACATCACAGATGATGGATGCACAGAAGTTGCCCCTTATGCAATATGTTGTCTGCCTTTCTATAACCGAAGCTATCAAGGAGCTATGCCGTGCCAAGGTTAGGTTATATTTCAGTGTAGTCATGTTTGCTGCTTATTGATTGCATTATGATCCCCTATTTTCTTTAGGCTAACTACCTCAGTTGCCATTGTTGACCTACGGGATCACCGGCTGACGACAGTGAACCAGATAGCCTCCAGACCCCTAGCCTCCAGACCACTAGTCTCCCACCACTGGTCTCCAGACCACTAGTCTCAGACCCCTGGCCTCCAGACCACTAGCCTCCAGACCACTAGCTGTGCCGACCACCGTACCGGCTTTGTCCGTACCCACACACTACGGATCGAGCTAGAAGAAGAAGGGAGAACAGAGCAAGCACGCACAATACAAGACAACAACGTTGGTCGAGACCCTGTCTGTGTGATGGCAAATCTGAGCTCTCTTTACTGAATTGCCTTGGTGCCCTATTTATACAACTCTATCTATCTAACCAAAGTACAGCGCACATGCTGTAACAGTAACTCGATAAGCATACAGGGCTGACTCTACGCCGGCCACTGTATGTGCCTACAGTGCTACAGGTGAGCCGTGCGGCGCCCGCACCTGCAGCGGCTACAGTATCACAGCAGGGGGCAAAGTCGGTGCCGCCTTCCTCTGCTGTGTTCACACAAGGTGGCAGTAGATTAGCTAACAATCTTCCCCTAATCCTACTGTTAACCCTTGCACCCCCTCCATGCCGATCATCTCCTTTAGCTCCGTGAGTCGAAGTCGTCCGAGCGACTTGGTGAGGACGTCCGCGAGTTACCGACCAGTTTCGACAAACTCGATGACGATCTGCCCTCCATCAACACAGTTCCTGAGGAAGTGGAACTTCACGTCGATGTGTTTACTCCGGTCGTGCAGAACTGGATTCTTCGCGAGGGCGATGGCGGGCTGGTTGTCCACCATCAGTGCTGGTGGGTGAGCTTCCACGCCGGTTAGCTCGCCCAGCAACCGACGTAGCCACACAACTTGGCACGCCGCTGTGGCCGCCGCTACGTACTCTGCCTCGCACGTAGATAGCGCTACCACCTTCTGTTTCAGCGAAATTGGGGCTGACCCGAGGAAGACGAGTATGCCAGAGGTGCTCCGTCGTCCGTCGATGTCCCCCGCCATGTCTGTATCGCTGAACACCGTGAGCCGCAGCCTACTTCCCCTGGTCTTTGGGAAGATGATTCCATGATTCACCGTCCCCTTGACGTAGTGTAGTAGCCGTTTCACCGTAGCCCAGTGATCCTCTCTGGGATCCTCCATGAAGCGACTGACGTAGCCCACGGCGAACGCAATGTCTGGCCTTGTGTGGACTAGGTAGCGCAGACCACCGACGATGCTCCAGTAGAGTGTTGCATCCACTTTCGCCGCGGTGCTGTCCTTCGTCAGCTTTAGCCGCTCCTCCATCGTAGTCACGCATGGCTTGCACTCCACCATGCCGCTCCTCTCCAACAGTTTGGAGGTGTACGCGCTCTACCCGAGCGTGAGTTCCTCCTTCCCTTGCCTCACCTCGATGCCGAGGTAGTAGGAGAGTGCGCCGAGATCGCTCATTTGAAAACGAGCTGCCATCTCGCACTTGAAGCTGTTGAGTTCCTCTGTGCGTGTGCCGGTGATGATTAAGTCATCCACATACACGCCGACCACGAGCTCTTCCTTCCCCCGTCATCGCGTGTAGAGCGCGTGCTCAGTTGCGCACCTCTGAAACCCAAGCTCTCCCAGCGTGGTGTCAAGCTTGGCATTCCATGCTCGAGGGGCTTGCCGTAGCCCGTAGAGCGCTTTGCGCAGTCAGAGCACGCTGTGCTCCTCTCCCTTGACAGCAAACCCTGGAGGTTGCCTGACGAAGACTGTTTCCGCCAGCTCGCCATTGAGGAAGGCCGATTTAACGTCCAAGTGATGGACGCGCCATTCCTTTGCTGCCGCCAAAGCAAGTAGCAAACGGACCAACTCCATGCGCGCTACTGGCGCAAAGAACTCCTCGAAGTCGATGCCCTCGCGCTGGACAAAGCCTCGGGCGATGAGGCGCGCCTTGTGCTTGACGATGGCGCTGAACTCATCCCTTTTGACTTTGTACACCCACTTCAGGCTGATCGGACGGCATCCTGGGGGTGGATCGATGAGCTGCCAAGTCTCGTTTTCCTCGATCGCCTTCATCTCCTCCAGCATTGCCCGTCGCTAGTTTCCATCGCGCTCGGCTAGCGTGAACGTGGGTGGTTCCTCCGCACTGACGAGTAGCAGCTCTGTGTCGTTGAGCAGCCTGGCCGCTAGTCCTGAGGGACCTGTGCCGCCAACGATATCGTCCAGCCTGCGAAACCTCAACTCCTCCCCTTCGTGGTAGGCGTCCACGAACTAAGTGGTATCACTTGGAGGTGAGACGAACTCGATCGGGGGCGATGGAGTTCCTTCTTCCACCGGAGTGCCCTACATAGCACCCGAAGTGCTCGGCACTTCTTCTGGACTGCTCGTCATAACTCCTACAGTGTTCGGCCGCACTGTAGGAGTGCCCAGCCTCAGTCTTGGAGTGGTCGGCACCACAGTAAGGCGTCTTGGCTCCTCTACAGGAGTGTTCGGCACCCGTCCTGAAGTGGTCGCCACCACTGCAGAACCTTCTGGCTCCACTCCTGGCGTGCTCGGCATCCCTCCAGAAGTGCACGACACTCCTCCTGGAGTGCTCGGCATTGCTCCCGAAGTGCTCGGCACTGCCCCAGAAGTGCTTGACTCTACCGCAGAAGTGCTCGGCGCTCCTCCCGGAGTGCGTGGCACCTATTCCGCAGCGTCTCCACTGCCGTGGATGACCAAGTGCTCGATGACGAAGGTGTTGGTGAAGCCTCCCGCTTCCCCCGTGCTCAGACTATTCTAGTCCCAAGCTGCCTCCTCGTTGAACACAACGTCGCGCGAGACAGTCACCTTGTCTCTGCGAGGGTCATAGAGCCAGTACGCCTTGGTACCCTCCGCGTAGCCCAGGAACACCATGGGTGTGCTCCTGTCCTCTAGCTTGGTGAGGTTCGGCTTTGTTTTCCTGACGTGGCCGATGCAACCGAATGTCTAGAGGAATGACACGTTCGGCTTGCGCTCGTACCAAGCTTCGAACGAAGTCTTGCCCGTTAGGGCCTTGGTTGGAGCGCGGTTGAGGATGAACACCGCCGTGGTCACCGCCTCTTCCTAGAACTTTGCCAGCATCCCTTTGGCCTTCATCATGGATCGGGCCATGCCGACCACTGTCTGGTTCCGTCGCTCCACCACGCCATTCTGTTGTGGCGAGTACAACGCGGTGTGATGTTGCCCCACACCTTGATCCGCGCGCGATGCGTAGCAAACTCCACCGGTGAATTCGCCACCCGATCGGTCCTCGAGACACGGAGCTTCTTGCGCTCTCTCGGCCTCCGCTGCTTTTGAACTTCTTGATCGCCACCGCCGCTTCGTCCATGCTCGTCGAGTTGCGACCACATGTAGCGCATCGCAATCGTCCACAAGCAGGAGGAAGTACCGCCGACCACCACATGTAGCAGGCGTGATTGGCCCGCAGAGGTCGCCGTGAACTAGCTCGAGAGCTTCCTTCGCGCGATACTTGGCCGCCTTTGGGAAAGGTAGCCTCCTCTGCTTCCCGGCCAGACAGCTGTCACATAGCTTGCCTCCGTGCTTGATGTGGGGTATCCCTCGGACCATCTTCCCCAGCCGACCAAGCGCGTCGAAGCTAAGATGTCCGAACCGGGCATGCCATATCCACGGCTCCTCGGAGTGCCTTGCCGCCAGGCAGACCGGCTGCTCTACCTTTAGGTCGAGCAGGTACAACCGGTTCAGGGACCCCTTCACCTTGGTTAGAAGTCGCTGCTCCCGGTCTCTGATCCTCAGAACGTCGTCCTTGATCAGAACCTCGCTACCGCGCTCATCCAGCTGACCAATACTGATGATGCTGGAACGCAGCTGCGGGATGTAGTATACATCCGTTAGCGCGCGGTGCTCCCCGTTCTGGCATCTGAAGATGATGGTGCTGCACCCTTGGATGGCCACCCTTGAGCCGTCACCAAACTTCACCGTACCGGTAACATCACCGTCGAGCTCAGAGAAGGAGTCCTTGGAGCCCGTCATGTGGTTACTGGCACCAGAGTCCAGATACCACCGCTGCTCCTGGTCGGCGCCCACACGCCCGAGATGGACTTAGGCGCGTGGTTCGTCGAGGTTGACGGTCTTCAGGGCCTTGCTAGATCCTTTCACCGTTGTCGCCTCTTCCCTCTCCATGGCCTCGACGTCGTGCAGTGCACAGAACATCGCCATAAGGATAGTGGCCTCATCCTCATCATCGGCTTTCGCCAGTGAGCTGAGCCTTCTTTTCCTTCTTGCGATTTGGGCACTCCGTGCCCAATGGCCCATCTTCCCGTAACACCGGCAGCGCGTTGAGTCGATTTGCTTCTTCTTCTTCGAAGAAGCCCCCGCCATGATGTTTGCCGTTGCCACCACGATCGGAGGAGGCCGCTTTCCGAGTTTTCGCCGAGCAGCCCACTCCTCTTCCGTCGTCAGGAGTTTCCGCTGTCCTTCGTTCTTTGTCGCTTTGCTCCAGCGCCGTCCACCGCCCACGACGGCCTGCCACATCCTCGATGGTGAGGGTGGACAAGTCCAAATCGCCTCTATGGAGAGAGCGATCTGGATGTACTTTTGCCGCACGGAGTGGAGGAATTTGAGACCGCCTTCTTGACCGATGGTGACGCCGTGGCTCTTCACTTTTTGGCGATGAGCGTCCGGTCAGCCGGAGGGAAAAGTCCTCCATTGTTTCACCATCCTTGAACTTAAGGTTTGCGTACTCTCTCGCCTGGCCTTCGCTTTCTTTGCGCTGTCAAAATCGACGCCATCGCCGCAATGGCCTCCCATGCCTCCTTAGCTTTGCTTTTCGTCCCCAACGGTTCCACACACTCACGGATATAGCTAGAGGATAGCCTCCAACGCCGACATGTCGCAAGCTTCCTCACACGCACCCTTGTCACAACATTCCGAGCCATCGGGCTCGAAGCTTGGCCTTCATGGTCATGACCACTC